CAAAAAAAGTCGCTCCCCCAACCTCTCCAATTCAACGTCCTCACAAGGCTGAGTCAGAAAACCGTCCTTGGTGATTAATACTCTCAGAAGTAGTTTGTCACCTTCAACTGAGATGAACATATCATATTTGCTTTGAATTTTCAAAGAGATTACCAATACGCTGCATAATTAGCATATATATTCAAGCATGCACCTGGGGACTCTTTGCCTATTCAGATACAGTGTCTAGTTAATGACATACTTTTCATGCATTTTACCTGACATATTTATACTGTGCTGCATTTTTTAAGACAACCCAAGCAAGTCATCATGCAAACATTCTTTTGTGCACCCATAATGAAATTCTCTAATTTTCTATGCTTGATCTACACTTAAGTTTGGCAGCATGGCCACATCAGCTGCAAGATGGGAAGGGGGGTGGGAGGGTGGGGAATGTTCTTTTCTTGCTTGTAACCAGAGAACATTTAACTAGAACAGCAAAAAGCATTTGCTGCCATAGCTCTTCTACAAATGGAGCATAACCAGTCAACAACTTTCACAGGTAAGTTCAGATTTGCAACACCTATGAATAAGCTATGAACAGAGTCTCAGTTCCTAAACAGCATTCACAACTCAGATAACACAAAACCATAGAATCATAGAAACGTTTTCGTTGGAAAAGACCCTTAAGATCATAAAATCCAACTGTTAACCTAGCACTGCCAGGTCCACTGCTAAACGATGACCCTATGCACCACGTCTACACATCTTTTAAATACCTTCAGGAATGGTGACTCAACCACTTCCCTGGGCAGCTTGACATCCCTTTCAGTGAAGAAATTTTTCCTAATATCCAATCTAAACTTCCCCTGGTGCAACTTTAGGCCATTTCCTCCTGTCCTATCACTTGTTACTTGGGAGAAGAGACTGACACCCACCTCACTACAACCTCCTTTCAGGTACTTGTAGAGAGCAATAAGGTCTCCCCTCAGCCTCCTTTTCTCCAGACTAAGCAACCCCAGTTCCCCCAGCACCTCCTATTAAGACTTGTGCTCTAGACCCCAAAATTGAACACAGCACTCAAGGTGTAGCCTCACCAGTGCCGAGTACAGGGGAACAATCACTTCCCCGCTCCTGCTGGCCACACTATTTCTGATACAGGCCAGGATGCTATTGGCCTTCTTGGCCACCTGGGCACACTGCAGGCTCATATTCAGCCAGCTGTTGACCAGCACACCCAGGTCTTTCTCTGCCGGGCAGCTTTCCAGCCACTCTTCCCCAAGCCTGTAGCGCTGCATGGGGTTGTTGTGACCCAAGTGCAGGACCCGGCACTTGGCCTTGTTGAACTTCGTACAACTGGGCTCGGCCCATCCATCCAGCCTGCCCAGATCCCTCTGTAGAGCCTTCCTACCCTCAAGCAGAGCAACCCTCCCTCCCAACTTGGTGTCATCTGCAAACTTACTCCAACCATCACATCACCCACAAGTCCTTCTGTGTTCGCAAAAATATACATCTGCACTCAATCCCCTCGTCCAGAATATTGATAAGGATATTAAACAAAACTGGCCCCAGTACTGAGCCCTGGGGAACACCACTTATGACCAGCTGCTGACTGGATTTAACTCCATTCACCACCACTCTTTGGACCTGGCCATCCAGCCAGTTTTTTACCCAGCAAAGAGTATGCCTGTCTAAGCCACGAGCAGCCAGTTTCTCCAGGAGAATGCTGTGGGAAACAGTGTCAAAGGCTTTACTAAAGTCCAGGTAAGCAACATCCACAGCCTTTCCCTCATCCACTAAGCGGATCACCTTGTCATAGAATGAGATCAGGTTAGTCAAGCAGGACCTGCCTTTCATAAACGCATGCTGACTGGGGCTGATCACCTGGTTGTCCTGTACATGCCATGTGATGGCACTCAGGATGACCTGCTCCATAACCTTCTTCAGCACTGAGGTCAGGCTGACAGGCCTGTAGTTCTCTGGACCCTCCTTATGGCCCTTCTTGTAGGTGGGTGTCACATTTGCTAACCTCCAGTCAACTGGGACCTTCCCGGTTAGCCGGGACTGCTGATAAATGTTGCAAAGTGGCTTGGTGAGCACTTCTGCCAGCTCCCTCAGTGCCCTTGGGTGGATCCCATCCAGCCCCATAGACTTGTATGTGTCTAAGTGGTGTAGCAGGTCACTAACCATTCCCCCTTGGATTATGGGGGCTTCATTTTGCTCCCTGTCCCTGTCTTCCATCGCAGTGGGCTGGGTAACCTGAGAACAACTGGTCTTACCGTAGAAGACTGAGGCAAAGAAGGCACTAAGTACCTCAGCCTTTTCCTCAGCCTTTGTCACTATGTCTCCCCCCGCATCCAGTAAACGATGGAGATTCTCCTTAGCCTTCCTTTTGTTGTTAATGTATTTACAGAAATATTTTTTATTGTCATTTACTGCAGCAGCCACATTAAGTTCTAGGTGGGCTTTGGCCCTTCTAATTTTCTCCCCACATAACTTCATTACATCTTTGTAGTCTGCCTGTGTTGCCTGCCCCTTCTTCCAAAGGTCATAAACTCTCTTTTTTTTCCTGAGTTCTAGCCAAAGCTTTCTGTTCAGCCAGGCCGGTCTTCTTTGCTGCCAGCTCATCTTTCAGCACATGGGGATGGCCTGCTCCTGTGCCTTTAACATTTCATTTTTTAAGAATGTCCAGCCTTCCTGGACTCCTTTGCTCTTCAGGACTGCATCACAAGGGACTCTGTCAACCAGGCCCCTAAATGGGCCAAAGTCTGCCCTCTGGACGTCCAAGGCATGTCTGCTACCCCCCCTACTTACTCCTCTGAGAATCGAAGATTCTATCATTTCGTGACCACTGTGCCCAAGATGTCCTCCAACCATCACATCCCCCACAAGTCCTCTGTTTGCAAAAATATACATCTTGAGTTAAGATTATTTATTTCTAAACATTTTTATCTCAGTTTCTCATTCTTGCTCAGTGGACAGTCAAAATTCATTTCTTGTATCTCATGCTGGAGCAGACAAATCACATATGTTACACTGAATCAGCAGAAGTTGTTCTGCAGATATTCTTGGTTCTAATATCTGCCAATAAAACTGCCAGTGGAAGAGCTCTGCTGTAATCTTTAGGGCCAAAGTCTTGTTACCAACTAAGTGACAGAGCACTAAAGGAATAAGTAGCGTACAAAAACTGTTTATCATCTTAGTGTTCTTTCTTTCATTCTGCAATCTTTATAGCAACAAAAACCCTATTAGGAATAGTGTCCCAAAGACCAAATTCAAGGATTGAGCTTTAGTTATCACGAGAAAAAATGCAAGAATTAGGTAGGAAAATTATCAGAAGGTGAAATTGCTTTGGAAAGACAAGATGAGCTGACATGTGTCCTTGTCTATGTTCTGTACAAGTCAACTTATTCCAAAAGGACGTGGCAGAGATGATCATGTCAAGGCAAATATTAGAGGAATGGGAAGAATTCTATATATGATATATATGTGTATGTATGGTGTGTATATATCTCAAAATAACAGGGCAATATATATATCAGAGTATCAGACATGAAAGTGACATGTAAGTCAGGCACCCTCACCAGCATTTCTGCAGGAAGTACTAGTATGTGATGATATAAGTAAAGACCACGCAAAATGACTATTTAGAAGCTGCACAGCCAGATTTAAAGATAAGATTTATTTTGAATGTTTGACATTGCAAGCATTTATTCTGAATGCCGTTTGGTTTGAAGGCTTGACTTGGACTTTCGTCTTCTTTTAATGTTGCCTTTGTTTGTTCTTATTGAACTTTATTTTTGAAATCTGAGGGAATAAAAGGCCTTGCCATTTTTTTTTGCCAAAATTTGCTGCAGTTTATATTGATGGATCTCAGCGAGTTATAAATCCAGATAAAATATTTTATTACTCTACTTTTATCTAATGATATATTTAGTATTTTTCTCATGGCAAACATAATTTTACTGAGCTGTTGAAGACTAATAATACAGGTAACAAACAAAAATAATAGCATCATGGGTATTTTAATCCTAACGTAACTTGCTCCTGGGCAAAAGGCCAAAAGATGTGCTTCAGAGTATGTAATACTATGCATTTATTCTGCTGCCCTTTCTTACTTAACAGTAGTACTGCACCATATATACTCTAGCTATAACTTGCCTTCTCCCTCCCTGAACACCTTTTACTAAAAACGGAATTCCACATGTATCTAAACCTATGCATCTAAGTCAATTTACATCAATAATTTAGAATGGAATGGTGAACCATGCAAACGAATTTTGCTAGGCATGGGGAAAGAATCTTAATTAAAGCATTACAGCCCATATTTGCAAAGATTTATACCCCCTGCGCACCCGCAGGGAGGTCCAACACGCTGCAGTTTGAGGTGAGCATCCTCAGGGGCAGGGTGGACAGACACAGTGGCCCATGATGGGCCCTGGTCCAGGCCAGACAGTGATTTAAAGCAGCAAAACCGAGGTATTCGCTGGAGCGCGTTGTTGGGAAGGTGGCGTCGATGGAGAAAACTTGGAGGAACGCTTTTGGTGGTCTCAAAGCTTGTGTTACCCTGACACTACAAAAACCCAGCCGCAGTCCTGCACAGCTGCGAACCATCTGACACCTGTGGGCAGGAGCCTCCTCACCCTTCCCTACGAACTGTGACCAGAAAACCTTTTATTTCAGGCACTCAAAAAACCGTATGTGTTATACACATCATAATACAGACACATATACATTACATGCTGAAATGTGTACACACAGCGCATTTAACTAATGCACGTACACTGCAGATTGGGAGACGCAGAGGCACACAGTGTAGCTGTACGGCCGCAGGCGCGGGGGCGGGGGGGTGGCCTGCGCCGGCCGGGGAGCCGTTAC